AAGTACTCTAATCTCTTTGAGTTTCTTTTCATTACTGCAGGCTTGATAATAGACAGCGTACACAGAACTACCTGATGTTGCTAGGTTGTGATGTTACTGCCTCAGAGAGCGGCTTTACGAACTCAGCTGATTCTTTTAGCTTTTCCTTCTCTTCGTTTTCCCACTCTTTGTAGACCTCCTCTTCCTAATTATATTCATACCCAGCTGCTAAAAGGAAATACATCCAGTCTCAAGCTTACCCCTCCCCCCTTATATATTTGAAGACAAAACTTAACGATGATAATTTTCCTGAAAACAAGAAAAACATTAGGAAACAATACGTGTGAGAAAACAAAACTGGAAAGTAACTTTGGTCTTGCTATCCTCGTGGGAACTGTTTTCGATTTCAACCGAGCCTGAATGAGTTTTGAAACTAAGTTTTGAAAATGATACGAAGTTAATTTCAAACCCACATCTAGATGTAACTCCCAAGCCTCAGGATTTCTAACAAACGACTCAGAAACTGGTCCTGCACTCGTCCTTCTCATCATTTTTCAACGGGAAGGGAATCAAACCTATCAATCAAACCATCCTTTTGGTCAAATTTTACTGACGGGGTATGCTAACGAAACAAAAAAACGTTTGATGTCATCTATTTCAGTTCTTTCATTCACACTAAGAAACATAGTACTAAACATCCTCGCTGTCTGCCATGCATGTCTATAATATAAATTCTGAGAATTTACTTTTCAGCAAACAGTGTCCGGAAGTTGATATTTGCCCCTTTTTTCTCATCATCCGTCTAATTGAATATATATTAATTTTGCAAAGAGAAATTCCCTGTTGGTTACTTTTAGGAATAAAAGAAATGTCGCAGTCACAGATATAACTTTGTCGTGGAGCAATTTTTCAGAGAGCTTCGAGAGGTTCACATTCGTGTTGAAGAGATCTCTCATCACAATGTCGATTGGAGACCGATTATTGGACGCTTTGAAAGAGTGAAAGCGTGGTAATTTCTGTGTTTATATCTGCTGTTTCCACAATCCGAGTTTATTTCGTCATTAGCTCGTGCAAGATTCAGTCTAGTCAATTTCAAATACAGATATGGCCCCTCATATTTTTTTTTATTAAAAATCACAGCTGTTAGCTTGTTTTTTAATTTTTTTTAAGCTGGAGTGTTGAAACCAGAACAGAGCAAAAAAACAATTGATAGCTTGTTCTAAGAAAATTACTGTTAGCGTGAATGGTTCTCTAAAATGTGGGCAGTTTTTAATCCTTATACAGTCGGGGGCAAGTTGAAAAAGGATCATCGGACCGGTCGAGAAAATTGAGAAATAAATCAGTTTTCATCTCATGCATTCCCAAGTTCCACACAGTTTCAAAGTCAAATCAAATTCAAATCAGTTCATTGGGATTTATTGGGGGAGTTATTCGTTTTCTGAGATTCATCAGCAGGTGAGATTTTCTCTTTGTTATGACTCAAAATTCAAGGTCGAGATTTTCAAATGTGAAAGCAAAAGCTACGACTGCGCCTATTTTACGAGTCTGTGAGAGAATTCAAAATAGAACTACAATAACTTGAATATCAATCAAGGGCCATAGCTTTTGAGAAGGGATAGTAACACTCTTATTAATGAATTAATGCGCATGCTTCGGATACAAATCATGAATTCCGTCCTTATTAAACTAAGTTTGTATGAAATATTTTGTCAAAAACTTGAATGTCTCCCATCCGAAAATACAAGAGCTAGCTCGAGATGAAGGTGGGCATGCATCTCTCATCTTTTCAACTTTGTACAGTGTTGTGTGACTTCACGCTTGAATGTTTCCCCAACTGTAAACCAACTCGAAAATCTTGTTAGTATTCATGTTTCACTTGAAAACATAGAATAAGTGATGAGTTCCACAACACTGATCAAGAGCTTCATAGATATCTGTAAATCATGGGCTTCAATGATTCATTCCGTTATTGATAATAGTCAGGCGTTACAACTTTGTTTCTACAATAGGGGGAGACGGTGAGGGAGTGATGATGATAATGAGTTATAGTGCTTGATTGAGCAGTTTCCCCACTACTTTTATTTGGCGAATGCCTCACAAACTATGAGAAACATTGTTCAATTATTGTCCATTTATTCACACTACAAATCCATCTCTTATACAAACAATCTTAGAAAGTTTAATCTGTGTATATATGCGTCCTTGGCTCTCTAGACTACAGTTTTAAAGCTGATCACTCTATATCACCTATAAGTTGATTCCAAACATCGACCTTGCAGTGAAAGTTACACTTCAATAATACCTCAAATACTCACACGTGAGCTATAATACGTAAATACTGAGAATTATAACCGACAAAAATTCTTACTGGTAACTTTCATGGCTCTACGACAATCTAAAGCACTATTCAGCCAACGGAAACCTCTTAAAGGCCCTTCTCTAAGATGTACTAAAATGTGTTATTTATTTCAAATGAATACAATGAAAATGATAATACCGGAATAGACAGTCTGAAACTTTTCCAGCAAGTATACTTGCAAGCGATGCCAATGGTTAGGAGTTAAGTTTCAACTTTAAAATCACATTTTTCCTGGTTCAATAAGACCTAGCATGCTGAAACTTTTCGTCATTGCCGAATGAAGTTTGATGCATCAAGCTGGTAACCGTAAGCTTTTCACACAAATCGCATCCGTTTTTCCCGCTCTGATCTATTTGCAAGGCTCCGATGCAGAGAAATACCCATAGGATGGTCTGCACGATTACTTCAGCTTTGAATTACGCATCGACGCCTCGTCATTTTTGTTTAGTTTTTGTAAGAATAGAGTGAAGCATTCTGTTATGTTTGCTTAACATTTCACCATGTAAGATTTTCGCGAGCCTTTGACGTCACTTCCTTTAAGTCCTGCCATCAACTTCTGGAACATGGTCAAATAATTGCGGAAGCAAAATCGCGAATTTAACGACCCGAAAAAAGATATTCCAAGACTGAAATTTGGCAGAGTAGGGGAAGGAGAAACATTGAACACGAAAATGAAAACTTTGAGTTTGCGTTTCGTGAGGTGCTCTGACGTTAAAAACGTGTTCTCAATAAATCCATAAATAAATGCACATTTTTCACTTTCAGAAGGCGTGTATATAATGTAAAAGAAATGTCATAGTCTTAGATATAACTTTGTCGTGGAGCAATTTTTCAGAGAGCTTCGAGAGGTTCAAAATCGGAACGAAGAGATCCCTCATCACAATGTCGATTGAAGACCGATCATTTGACGCTTTGAGGTAAAGTGTGGTAATTTCTGTGTTCATGACTGACTGCTGTTTCCATTATCCGAGTCTATTCTGTCATGAGCTCGTGCATGATTTCAATTTCAAATACAGATATGGCTCCCATATTTTCTTTTTTAATAAAAATCACTGCCGTTAGCTTGTTTTTTATCTATTTTGTTAAGTTTGAGCGTTGAAACCGGAGCAAAGCAAAAAACACTTGATAGATTATTCTAAAAAGAAAGGAACTGTTAGCGCGAATAGTTCTCAAAAATCTGCGCATACGGTTGGGGTCAAGTTGAAAAAGGATCATTGGACGGGTCGAGAAAATTGGGAAATAAATCAGTGTTCATCTCATGCATTCCTAAGTTCCACACAGCTTCAAAGTCAAATCAAATTGAAATTGGGATTTATCGGAGGAGTTATTCGTTTTCTAAGATTCATCAACAGGTGAAATTCACTCTTTGTTATGAATCAAAATTCATGGTAGAGATTTTCAAATGCGAAAGCAAAAGTTACGACCGCGCCTAATTTACGAATCTGTGAGAGAATTCAAAGGTGAACTACAATGACTTGAATATCAATCAAAGGCTATAACTTTTGAGAATGGAAAACAAAACTGCGTTATTAATGAATTAATGCGCATGCTTCGGATATGTGTCATGGCGTACACGGCTCATTCTTCCTGTAAATCATGAATTCTTTATTCCTTATTCCTTAGGAATTCCTAAACTAAGTTTGTATAAAATATGATAAATTAAGTTCGGTAGTAAACACTATGTTTTGATTATGCCTATGCAGACATAATTTTATGAAGTTAAAATTGTGTTTTCTTTATATCAAACCTTGCTCGAATAACTTGAAACGTCAGTCACTTATTCTTGCAACAGTCCTTCTCAGAGCTAGTTTCGCCTTTATGATCAAATGTAAACTGACTGGTAAGCACCCTTCGCTTCGTTAGATCATCGTTAGCCCTTCGTGCTGGAAAAGGCCTGACACTCAATACGTCAAGTTGAAGGTCATTTCCCTTCCCCCGATGATCTTCTATTGCACATAGTGAACCAGTTTTCCCTTATCCATGGCTTATGTTCCAGTTTCCATTGTCGAAAGTTTGTTGTCTATGGTCCATAGTCTATTTTCCATTTCCATTGTCCATTGTTGCAGGGAGGGCACTGCTACAGTCATAGACGGAAGTGATTATGATTGGATAAAGGTCAGTTACAAGCTTTATTCGATGAATGAAACCGAAAGCGGTGACATAGATGGTCACTACTGGCACGTCGATAGCAATGATTCCTTGAAAGCAAATGGAGGAAAAGATAGTGCTAGTGAGTAAAAACAAGGTTTTTATAAGTTTTAAGTCCCGGCTTAAATCAGAAAATAACGGTAGCTTCATAATTAACACTATTGTTACTGCCGTCATCGTTTTAAATACTATTTTTAATATCATTGTTGCCATTGTTATTTTAGTTATTTACCAATAGTACTCTTATTCAAAGAATATATGAAGTACATATATTTTGAACTGCGGTTGTAGATACTGCGAGGATCGTGCATCATAAGTACTCTTATTATTATCATTATTATTATTTCTACAAGGTTTATCCATATTATCAGTACGCTTACTGAAAAAGCGTTCTTGGGTCTCTGACTTTTTCATCTGAAAGCCGCCCTGTGGTCGTAACCTGTGAATTGCCAACTATTGTTTGCATCATAAAGGACGATATATTTGATTTGCCATGATGGCTCTTTATCTTATTTTTACAGATATTTTCAATGTCTACACTCGACGTGTGGGGTCTAAAGCTGTTGTTATGTTACAGCACGATAAAACAGAGAAGTTTGTGGCTTTCAGGAAAAACTCCGACGAGGTATATGTAAAGGTACGTAACGAAACGATTTCAGTTTGCAAGAGGAGACAACCCCTAGGGTCCATTGATCAAAAAGCTTTTTAATTTTGTAATGAATTATAATCGTTTGTCTCTCGATTTAGTCACTTCCGACGTTGGATCGGAACTTTTGACGGTACACCGCGAGTCTTCTTCAGGCGATGTGTTGGGTGACGCCTTTATTGTGAGACAAACGGTTATACTTCGCCACCAGTACGACCAGTAACCGTAAGCTTTTCAACAATTTCAAGTTTTAAATGGATACGGAGGATCAAATTTACTTGTCATGATGGTGACAATTATCGTCCATCATGCCTTCTCAAGTCTGACACCTGTTTCAATCCTTCAACGGCAAGGAAAGACTAACGTTTTAGCTTTCCCCATAATTTCACTGCATCATCTTTAAGCATGATACAAAACAGGTTGAGCTACGGACGGACTATAATTGGCATTAATGAAATCGCTCATTCGAACAAGAATGCGGTTGCCATAATTTTGGAAGAGACTCGAGATTTTCTGCCCTTTTTGAGCATAACTTGTAAATGATTTTAGATGTTTTTATTTTGGAATTAATGTTTTGTCTATTCTGATAGCATCTTCCTAAAGAGATCGATCTCAATAACTTGGAAACGGCCGCACAGGAGCAGATTTTGTTCTACAAGATACCGCGGACAGCTGGGGGTGAGATTTTTCATTTGCAGTCATACCCGAATAAAGAGCAGACTGTTGGATTTGACACTGCTGGCAATTTAATGCTTCCTTCGGCTGTACAGCTTGATAACGTTGCAAGTTTTTTCAAGATATTCCCTAGTTAAGCGCTTTCAACTTTTCTCAACTTTTAACACATATTTGTTAATTCTTTTTTTTTTAATTAAAAAATTTTCTTGGAGACCGTGAAGTAATTTCACCTAATTACAAACTTTCTATCGATGAATCCGTAATGAAATGCATCTTAGATAATTGGTGAATAAACTGTTACAAAGAACCTTGACGTGAAAAACAAGGCTGACTCTAACATAATTATGCTGTATGATTTTCCAGATAGTAAGTGTAATAATAAAAAAAGTTGACGCTCATAAAAATACGAACTTCATATAAATTTAGCCTAGAAGAAACCATATTTAAGTTGAGAGGACATGAAGAAATGTGGATAGCTTGAGCTGCCTGTGATAGGAGCTTAGGCCAAGCTTGATATGGCTTGTTGGGTAAGCCTGTCAGACTGAAGTAACTCCGCCAACATTTTCATGTACATCAATGATCGTATTAGCTCCAAGTACAAATGTGACGCCAACCCCGTTCCCAGGGTCTTTTCCCTTAGTTGGGGGTGGAAAGGGAAAGGGCACCAGGAACGAGGTTAGGGTGACACAGTCACCTCTGTCCTATTAAGACCCTATTAAGACTGAAATCTTATAAGAAAATTCTGTTGTGATTTTGATTAATGCAATGCCGCAAACTTCTGTCATAAACCCTCCGGTATATAGGATTCCCTACAATCGGCGACAAAATTGTTGACGCGTTGATCTTTTCAACCCCCCATGACTTCAATTTTATCTCTTTTGCCCTCGTTAAGTTAACTATTTCGCCCCCTCCCCTCCTAAAAAATTGGGGGAAGGGGGAGTCTGTTAATGATTTAATGAACTTGGATAAATAAACAAGTGTACCTTTTATCGTGTCTCTTCGGCGGCTACAAATATCTAAGATGTCTGATTCGGAGCTACGGAATATGGGAATCAAACCTCGCTCCCGAAGTTCCCGATTTCTTCTGTTAACGTAGTATTAACGCGCAACTAAATTTAGAAGGTGCTCAAATTTACCCTCCGCCTGGCTTTTCAAAATCTCTCCGTAACGTCCCAGAAGTCAAAATAGCCCTTGGACAACGTCCACCTAATCACATAAGTCAATTGTGTGGCTCACTAGTTGCATTGTGTACTTGTCTTTATCTTTCGTTAAGTATGTTGTCATGTTTGGTTCGTAAATTCAACTCGTGAATCAGTGTTTATGTCCACTTCTAAATACAATTTTGTCGTTTTGTAAATGCCTGTAAGCTACGTGCACCGTTTAAAGTAAATGTGCATATATATACATTTGGTGGATATAAAGTGGGCTGAGTTGGACACCGTAAAATCTGAGTTACCTGCTATTCGAGATAAGATACTAGCTGGCTAAGCGGAAAAATCATATATGAAGGTGCTCACGCATGGCACATTTGGTCTCAGAGGTATACCAGCTTTGACAAACACCTTGTCGAGGGGTGAAGGGGTGAAGGGGGTGGAGGGGGGGTCGATCAAGATATTATTATCTGTGATAGGATCTCTTCTTCACGAAGCAAATGAATGGCGTCACTTTTGTTCTTGACAAATCCCACAAGCTTGAGTGTAACTTGGGTTGATTAAGACTACCCAAGCCGTTCATTTGCGAATATCATCATGTACCCAAACTATTAGCGGATTAGCACCAATGCATTATTTGATATTTTTCTCCTTAATTAAAGTCTCAAGTAATAACTCTTTCTTTAACTTTAACTGAATTAAAAAGCAATAGGCGAGTGAATTCGAAAACTTGAAAATCAATGTGTCATCGAACTATGAAAGTAGTCGAACCTGTTTATAGCAGTCACGTTGGGAATGAGTTTCTAAAGTCAGATTTCTTGATGCAAGTTAAGAAATAGGAGGAGTCTAGGTTTTTCTGTAAAGAGAAGAGCCATCAATCACGAATATGGTTACTCACAAAACCGGTGACACAAATACTGATGGTTATAATTCAGAACCATGATTTTGATTTAGCATATTCACAAATCAAAATACGACTAGGGACTTTTTTTTATACCAGTGCCGGCCAGTCGTTCAAATAACCGTGATAACGTTATCCAACGGATTATGAAACGTCATCCAGCGAATAACTGTTAAGGAAACGTATTACGCCAGTGGATAGCACCATTCACCTTACTTATCAATCTTGGCTTGAGGATAAGCTAAAAGGATTCACGACAGCGCGCGGAAATGAAATCAAATGGTTAGGAGTTAAGTTTCAATTTCAAAATCACATTTTTCCTGGTTCAATAAGACCTAGCATGCTGAAACTTTTCGTCATTGCCGAATGAAGTTTGATGCATCAAGTTGTGGCTGGTAAAGTTTACACGTGAAATAGGTTTTGGCATTAGGTGTTTAACATGTCGGAGCTATTACCAGCAACATATGCAACATAACGGCTGTTCGTTGATCAACGGCTGTGAGTTGATCACTTTGCCATCAGACAAGTAAATGGTTAAGTTGTTTTCCATTGCCGCATTCGCAAGCGCTTGACGGTAGTTTCCGCTTCCTCTTGAGCGTTTGGAATGTCAGATAAGTTTTTTAGACGCGAAGTAACCGTCATTGTAGGTGATGATGGAGGTTCCCTCGCGGACTTACCCTAAAATGGTTGTTAGTAAAACGCGTAATGGCGTAACCAGTGACGGCTTCTGACGGCGTAGCAAGAAACCACGTAACGGGATTTTTTGAAATGTTATTATTACTTTTTTGTAACTTTTTTTTATTTTATTATTTATTGAAACTCTATTATTATTATTTTTTGAATGTGAACATTATTATTCGTGATTGGCGGAGCTTTTCCCGCCCTTTGGCCAAAGTTACCGCATTTCCGGAGACACTAAAAAGTGCGGGCGCACTTTCTCACGCCTCCAAGAGGTTGAGTACGATGATGGTAGGGTTTGGACTTTCATTTTCAGTCAGTTAGTTTCCTTTCTTGCCTCTCGATCTTTTCAGTCACGATTTGTTTAGTGTGGTTGCAGGTTTCAGTAACTGAGTAGTTTTTGCGTCCTGCGCGCAATTTTTTAATTCTAACAACTTGCGTTTACGATTTTCTGCAGAAGTCATTTTCCTTGGGGAGAGAAGGCTTTCTGGTAAGTGAAAATTGAATACTTAATTTGATGGTACATAATATTTTCTATTAAGAATGTAGCTTACCTCTAACGCTTAATAGTGGTCACTATAGGAGAGCCTTCAAAATATCTTTAAATGTAGCGATTGAGATAAAAAGTATTTAGTGGATACTAAGCTTATCTGCTGATCGCGTGTGGCTGTCAAATTCAATTCACGGATGTAGTTGAGGTTTTATGCTAAGATGTAGATTCAATGCTTCCCTTCTGTAGATGCAGATGTCAAGGACAGTGGACTCACTTCTGGGGTAAGATTTTCAGTTTAATGTTGTTGATAATTGATCTGCGTATCTTAATGCCTGTTATTCGAAAATATATCAAATGCAAACTTCATGTCATGCAACGCCTCAAAACAATGATAAAATTTAAAAAAATAATGATAATAAAAAATACAAAAAAAAATTAACAACATTAAAAAAAATCCCGTTACGCGGTTTCTCGTTATGCCGTTACGCCGTTACGCGTTTTACTAACAAACCCCTAACATACTTTCATTCCACGGCAAGGCACAAGCTTCCCTATGTCTAAAATCAGGATCACCAGAAAAATGAAGCCCAGCTAAAGTGTATTCGCTAATCCTTTCCTTCTTGGCCAAAATTGGATAGCCTGAAGTTCCTGCACGCAGTACCCCTCTTTTCTTCTCAAGGCGAATCAGTACTGCGTTCTGGCTAGCTTCACTGAACTAAAGTACTCTAATCTCTTTGAGTTTCTTTTCATTACTGCAGGCTTGATAATAGACAGCGTACACAGAACTACCTGGTGTTATAGGTTGTGATGTTACTGCCTCAGAGAGCGGCTTTACGAACTCAGCTAATTCTTTTAGCTTTTCCTTCTCTTCCTTTTCCCACTCTTTGTAGTCCCCTTCTTCTCTAGCATATTCATACTGAACTCCCAGCTTCACCTTTGCAATATCTTTGTCTTTTAAATTCGCGTCTTCTCCCGGTTGCAGATGGTGAGCGAACGCCGTACGCTTCTGCATTTGAAATTCGTACTTCTTCATGGTTCCATCTGGACTATCGGGATGTCGAACGTGAAAGGAAACCTTGAAGCTTGCATTTAGGAGGAAGTTGTGAATACCTTTGTTACGTTCTGTATCGTCTTGGAAGTTGTGAGCCGCAGTCATGACCCAGCCGTTTCCGAACAGAAATCCAGTTCCTTCATATGTACAGCATTTACTATCTTTCATTTCAATACGGCAAACAGTATTTTTTATTTTCTGCTCCAGGACTTCCATTTTACTCTGATACTGGATAAATGAACAAGTGTATTCTCGATCACGTCTCTTCAGCGACTAAAAATCCAAAGTATGTCGGACAAAGAGTAAGCACAAGGACAATCCATCCATTGTTCTCGTTTATTCTGGTGACGTGGCACCAACTGACTCATATTTACTCTGGTAGGGAGGGGTAAAACAAAATCTCCACAGTTCCTTTCTGTTCTGCTGACGAATTGGCCGACCCAAAGGTCGAAATGGTGTCGAATACCTTTACTTTATACTTTGTGACATTTTAGTTAAATTAACCAATCTGTTCACCTCATTATTCTCGCGGAAGCGGAGAGCGAGAAAGGTCTCAATTCACCGTGGAATCTCCAGAAGCAGTCTCCTCTCTAGGGTGACCACCTTCCTATCACCAAAGTGGAATCTGATCACGATTTAATGAGATAGCTTCCTGTCGCCAATACGTTAATGTTATGCGAAGTTCTGAGGAAGATGACCTGCTAACCCGTATATTATAAACTGGTAGTTAGGTTTTTAGCGAGATAGAAAACAGAGAGTTATTTTCGGCAGTTCCGTTTGTGATTGGAAAACTGTAAACAAAGGCGCAATCCAGGGTAGCGTTTCAGGACCGTGTATTCCTTAACGACCTGTAGATCAAATTAGGGAATGAGACACTTGGTTTTAAATATGCTGATGACTGCACGATTATTGCTCCGGTATTTCGTGATATAGATCACTCGACAGAATTAATAAATCAGTTTGTGCGGTGGGCGGGCCAAAATAGAATGAAGTCAAACTCAACAAAATGTAAAGAGCTTATTATGTGTAAAAA